GGCGGCAGCAGCCCCTGCACACCCCGGAGGGCACGGAGGCACCAGCCTCTCCTCTCTCCCATTCAGCCAGAGCCACGTGCTGCAGTCTGAGCAGCGCCGGGGACGTGGCTGGAATGAAAGTGGCCTCTCCAGCTCCAGCCTTTTGCTGAAGTCAAAGGATTGCCAAGTTAAAAGGGTCAAACCTCCAAGGACAGCTGTGTCTGCCTGGCTATATATCATTTCAATAGCATCTTCAATGGGGATTATAATCTGAATTGAAGCGGAAAGACCCGAGGCAATGAAGCTGTCAGCAGCCTAAGATTAAGGAATTAAAACAGCAGCAAAGCATTACAGGATTTGTTCTAGATGTATTAGAAAGAGCAGGCGAAACGCACGGCAGCCTTCCCAGGGTCGGGAGTTTCTTATGAGTACAGAGAAGGGCAAGAGCAAGGAGCTCATCCATGTTCACAGAAAAGAGAAGGGGGAGCGAGATGGAGCCCTGGAAGGCCTGGCACGCAGGATGTGACTCAGAGCTGTGGAGGGAAATGAGTCACAGCAGGTCTGAGGGAGGTAAATACAAGCTGGGATGAAGTGGACTTGAGGGAGGGCAGAGGTGAGAAGACACCGATCAGCAGCAGACAGGGAAAAAATGGCCCTTAATATACTAAAGCTGGTACGTTCTGGAACACAGCCCAGCCTGCTGGGAATGCAGGTCCCCAGCCCTGCCACCCTGCCCCTCTCCTCCCCTCCCTCCCATGTTCTTACACTCATCTCCAGAATGACTTTGAAAAGGCAAGACCAGCAGCACCTGCACAGGGGAGCTGGCAGCTGAGCTGAGAGGGGGTGACAAGCCCAGCCTTGGCCACCATGGAGGTCCCCAGAAGGCACCACCAGCTCTGCCCAGCTCGGGAGGGAGCAGCAGCTCCTCTGGGCAGGAAGCAGGAGCTCTCAAAGCAAAGAAGGAATCAAACTCCCACCAAAGGACTCATTAAAACGATCCATTTATTTCTGGCAAATTGCACACACGTTTCTCTCATCCACTCCACCCTAGATCAGTTGTGGGGTGGGAATTTCTCCCCTGCCTTAAAGATACTGAAGTTACAGGACGAAACACAAAGAGAAGCAGGGAAGTAACCCTTGGAGAGTAAAATACAGTGGCAAGTTTTGGTGCCCCAGGCTCCAGGCAGCCCACAGCTCTCATGGAGATGCAGCATGGAGATGCTCACTGAGGCACCTTTCCTTCAGCTGCAGGATCCAAACAGAAACAGGATCTCAAACACAAGGCCTGGGTGACAACTGCAACCAGCAGGGCCTGGAACAACCATGCCTGGTTGACATCTAGATGAATCCTGAACCAGGCCACCTGCACAGCACTGCTGCACTTCACTGACACAAAAAGGCACCCAGCAGAACACTTCTCTGCATGCAGGAGGCTGTGGAGTGGGGTTGAGCAGCTGGATCTAGGACACAGGAGGAGATGGGAAGCTAATGACAGGCGGGGCTGGTTCTGCAGCACAGGCAGAGCAGGGAATTGTTTTTGCGACTCCTCCAGCTGACTTCTACTGGGAGGTTTACATACAAGTCCTCAATCAAGTCTTTTAAGAGATATCCAGAGTTCCCTGGGTAAAAACAATCTGTTTCAATAAAGAGGAGAGTCCAGAGCTGCTCAGTGATTCTTTTTGGTTGAGCCGAAACCAGAGAAACCCATCACTGCTGCCATTTCATCATCCTCTTCAAAGGTCAGGTCTTCCTCTGCCCGCCTCTTCTTCTCCCTCTGCTTCTCCTTCTTGTAGGCTTTGGCCTTCTCCTCCTGCACCAATGGACAGAACAGAAAAATGGTTTGAACCTCCTGAGCCCAGTCCTACCAACAGCTGAGAGAGTCGGGGTGTTCAGCCTGGAGAAGAGAAGGCTCCAGGGAGACCTTAGAGCAGCTTCCAGTGCCTGAAGGGGCTCCAGGAAAGCTGGGGAGGGGCTTGGGACAAGGGCAGGGAGGGAGAGGACTAGGGGTGATGGATTAAAACCAGAAGAGGGGAGACTGAGGTGAGACATTAGGAGGAAATTCTTTAGTGTGAGGGTGATGAGACACTGGAACAGATTGCCCAGGGATGTTGTGGAAGTCCCATTCCTGGAAATGTTGAAGGATAGGTTGGATGGGGATCTGAGCAACCTGGTCTAGTGGCAGGTGTCCCTGCCCATGCAGGGTGCTGGACCTAGATGATCTTTAAGGTCCCTTCCAACTCAAACCATTCCATGATTCTATGAACAACACACATGCTGTCTGAGGAAATCACCAACCAGCAGCAATCCTGGACTGCAGCCCCGCAGAAGGAGGTTTCCCCATTGTCTCCAGACCATCCCAAGAGCAGTCTCACAGAAGACATAGCCAAAAGAAGCATTATGAAACTCCCTCTTCAGAATTTGTCTGGAATCCATGCAGAGGCAGGAAGGAGCTGCCTGTAAAGCAGGAGGCCTTTCCCTCCTAGGATGCCCTGTCCCAGTGGCCGTGGTGCAACGTGGCTGCCTGGTGGTGCTCAGCCTGGCAGAGCATCAGCTGCTCACTGGAAGAGAAGCTGAAGCTCTGAAAGGCTTTGGGAGGTTTTGGCAGCAAAGAGTTTGTGCTGCTCTAATCAAAGTGTTTTGCTCTGCCAGGATCACAAGCCCTGGAACAGTGCCAGGCTGGGGCTGGGAGATACGGAAGCGTGGCCAGGGCTCCTGACTTGGCAACTGCTCCTGCCCTTCCCAGCATCATCCCCTGGGCTCAGCTCCTGCCCACAGCTGTGCCCTGCAGGGGCCACACACTGACTGGGGCCTGTAGGAGAGCTGGGGGGGACTGTGCACCAAGGTGTGTAGGGATAGGATGAGGGGCAATGGCCTTAAACTAGAGCAGGGGACATTCAGATTGGATTTCAGGAAGTTCTTTACAGTGTAGGTGGGGAAGCACTGGAACAGGTTGCCCAGAGAGGTGGTGGAAGCCCCATCCCTGCAGACATTTTAGGTCAGGCTTGACAGGGCTCTGAGCAACCCCATTTAGTTAAAGTGGGATTGGAGGAGATGACCTTTAAAGGTCCTTTCCAACCCAAAGCCTTCTGTGATTCTATGGTTCTACAACTGGCAGCAGCTTTTCAACCCCCAGCTCTGCCAGGGCACTGGTCTCCTATCCCCCAAACAGAGCAGGCTCAGTGGCACCACAGAGCAGAGCATCCTGACAGAGCAGCCCTATAGTGTATCAAAGCTCAGGCCATGGGGCAGGGAGACTCCAACCCACAGTGATTTTTAACCTTCGGTTTGTCTGTGAACTGCTGATGGAGGAGAAGCTTCCACAGAAGCTCCCTGACTGCAAGAACTCTGTCAGGTTTCTCCACGTCAGGGAGCTGACACCCATGCCCAGGTCTGAGATGACTCTGCTGTCTTTCCCTGCCTCCACACACATCTCACACCACAGCACTCTGCTCACAAAAGCCTTCTGCAGCTGGGGAGGCCACCCAGAAGCAACATGCCATGTGGAGAAGGATCCCAGCAATCCTAAAACCCACGGAGGACAAGGGACAGTGACACAGACCTGCTGATCATAGCACACAAGTTCAAACACAAGGAAAGGGATCAGGGCTGTGCTGCTCCCTGGGAACCTGAAGTGTCACAAATGATCCTCACACAGAAAGAGGGAGCAGGGGGTTCCAGGGGCAGCAGCAGCAAACTTCTCAAAAACCAAACAAAGACCCAAGCCCCACTCACTGCAGCAGACAAGTTGCTACCAAGAACAAGGCTTCTGTAGAACAAGATGAGGAACCAGGGCTGATTCCCTCACAAAACATGTTTCTGGGGGGCTTGGCTTCATCACCTGCTGCTCAGACCCACCTCCTCACGGAGCTCCTTCATCCTCTCCTCAAAGTCATAGTCCTTCTGCTTCTCCTCCATCTTCTTCTTGTTCACCTCAAAGCGTTTCTTCACCTGGTCCAGCGTGGAGCGCTCCACCCGCATGGACATGCCCAGGTTTCTCTGGTCTAGAGAACAGGAGCAGAACCAGCTGTGAGCAGCAGAACCCTTCACCTTCAGACATCCACACACAGCCCCTGTCCTGGTCCCAATTTAAGCACCTCAGCATGGCAGCCTCTCCCTGCCTGCCACCCCTGTGTCCAGCTCTGGAGCACCCAACACAGGAAGGACACGGAGCTGTTGGAGAGAGGCCAGAGGAGGCCACGGAGATGCTGGGAGGGCTGGAGCAGCTCTGGAGCCAGGCTGGGAGAGTTGGGGTGTTCAGCCTGGAGAAGAGAAGGCTCCAGGGAGACCTGAGAGCACCTTCCAGTGCCTGAAGGGGCTCCAGGAAAGCTGGGGAGGGGCTTGGGACAAGGGCAGGGAGGGATGGGAGCAGGGGGGAATGATTTCAAGCTGAAAGAGAGGAGATTTAGGTTGGACATGAGGAGGGAATTCTTTGCTGTGAGGGTGGTGAGAGCCTGGCCCAGGTTGCCCAGGGAAGCTGTGGCTGCCCCATCCCTGGCAGTGTTGAAGGGCAGGTTGGATGGGGCTTGGAGCAACCTGGGCTGGTGGGAGGTGTCCCTGCCCATTGGGGCAACGCAGCCTTGGGGACCCCAGCCCTGTCCCACAGCCCGTGCTGACAGACCCTCTGCCTCCTCAGGAGCCACCAGGCTGCCAGAGCTCGCTGGGAGGTGACAGTTTGTGTTTTCCCCTCTCCCTCCCAGGTCCAAGCTGACCAATGAAGACTTCAGGAAGCTGCTCATGACCCCGCGGGCTGCGCCAACGTCGGCGCCACCGTCCAAATCTCACCACCATGAGTGAGTAGGACTGTGGGGGTCCAGGGCAGTGGTGGAGTCCCCAAAACTGGGGAGATTTTAAAGCTATGTAGGGACATAGGTTAGTGGTGGCCTGGGCAGTGCTGGGGAGTGGTTGGGCTGGATGGTGTTAAAGGTCTTTTCCAACCCGAATGATTCCCTGTCTATGATTCAGTTTCCTCACCCTCTTCACCTAAAAGCAAAGGGCTGTGACACATTTAGTTTTCTTTCCCTTCTTTGCCCTCAGGGCCTCTTCTGAACCCCGGTCCAGCAGCCAAGCGTGCAGGTCTGGATCACATCCATCCCTTCTGAAAAGGGACCATTTGTTGATGTCCACTGGGAGCCAAATCCACCTTCAGGAGTGAACAACGTGCCAAGAGTGTGTCAGTGTGTCCTGCTGCTCCTTTGCCTTTCCCTCTTTCCCCACACTCTAAGCACACCCAGAGTTATGGAATGAGGGTCAGGTGAAGGAGGGTGCACTCCTCTTCCTCCAGTTAAACACAGTAGGAAACAGGCAGACAAACTGGCAATTCTTATCTTGGGCTGGGTGAACTGCATCATTACAGCAACGGAGAGAAGAACCAGAGATGGGCATAGGACAGTAACACCACCAAACAGCTGGTCCCAGCTCTGGGGTTGTTCTGCCCCACTCCTGTCTCTGCTCAATCCTCAGCAAACCACAGCCTCCATCCTTGGGAACTCTGATCCCCACTCTGGACCTCAGGGACCAGCTAGTTCGAAGCTTCATGCTCAGCTTTTACAAAGAGAAGCTTCTGATCAAAACCATGGGCTAAAGTCCCATGCCTTTTACTTGCTCAAGAATTCCTTTAAAGTTTTGGTTCTGTAAAAAAACCAATTCCATCTTTTCAAAGGAGACATCAGGGTTTGCCCACCCTCACAGCACAGAGTGTGGGGAAAGTATTTCCCCGTGCCCAGGGTAAATCAGTCACTACTTCTTCAGGGCTTATTCCACAGGCATGGTCCAGCACCCTGGAGGAGGTGCCAGGAGAAAAAGCAGCAGCTCATGAGCTTCATCCTGATCTCCAGAGCACACCCTGGCCCACTATCACTGCTCAGACACTGGTGATGTGTGGAAGAACAGCCCTGAGTGCTGCAGTAGCCTCCAACCCTCCAGCAGAGCAATGGTCCTTACGTTTTTTGCCATTGATGTGATCCAGGAAGTTGATGGAATCTTTCACCACGCAGTCACAGACGTTGCAGTAATACCTGGCAGGAGAGAGAGAGGAAACATCAACACCAAAGCATGAGACCAACCTCACCTCACAGGACAACTCGTTGAGATCATCTGAAACGTGGGAATTGCCTGGCACTTGGGATACAGCTCCTTTCTCCAGGGGGAAAATGCAAAAAAACAAGAGGCTGCTTCCAGTGGAGAGTCCCAGTGAAAGAGTGCACAGCCTGAACTGACAGAGGTGATCTGTGGTCCATCAGCCACAGCATTGTCCCCTCCCAGTCACAGCCACCACGGTGGGAGGGACTCTTGACAGGGCAGGCTCAGCTGGAGGAAGGGCTGGGAACAGCCTGGGTCTCCAGCCCCTGTCTCCAGCCCCTGATGTCTCTGCTGCCAGGCAGGTCCTCCCCTCCCCGCTGAGGCAGCAGCAGCCCTGCCCATCCTGGGCAAAAACCCAGGCCAGGATCACACTTCCAGGCCCGGATGGGATCAGGGCTCTGTATCCCCCTGGCACTGCTGGCCAGGCAGCCAGGGGTGCTCTTCCCAACTCTCTGCATCCTCCTCAAGCTCTCTAGGGCTTAGGATGAGCTGGGAATCCTTTTAGCCTTTGCCCAAACATGATCCACAGGAACAGTGGCCTAACACCACTGCTAAGGACTGGCTTCAGGGCAAGGGGAAATGGCCTCCAGTTGTACCTCAGGAGGTTTAGATTTTGTGTTAGAAGAAACTTCTTCACTGAAAAGCTCATTAGACACTGCCCAGGCTGCTGAGGGTGGGGGTTGAATGACCATCCCTGAAGGTGTTTACAAGCTGAGTACATGTGGTGCTGGGAGACATGACATAACTGTCAGTAGAGTTGGGCTGTGGTTGGACTTGATGATCTTAAAAGTCTTTTCCAACCCCAACAACCCTGTGTGATTCTGTTTCTGGATGCTTCACCAGTGCACAGAACCTCAAATCAGGAACCCAAAAGATCAGCAGAGAGGGGTGTGCTGCAGGCTGGCCTGGGGAGCAACACCACCCAGGGAGGCAGCAGAGAACTGCCTTGGTTTTTCAGGAGAGCAGAGCAGCCCTGGCACAGAGTGACAGTGCCCAGGGGGCTCAGCACCCACTGCCCCTCCAGCACAGAACCCAGTTCAGGTGTCACACACACAGCACCACAGCACCGAGCTCAGAGGGGGGTAGGACGGAGACCCCCCAAGGCACTGCAGGGGCTCCCTGCTGTACCACAGCCCCAGGAACCCCCAGAGACCAGGACCTACCCTCCCATCTCAGACTGGGGAGTGGTTTTGGTGATGACAATGGTTTTCCCCAGCTTGGATTCCAGGTCCACCTTGTAGTCGCGGTGCCGCAGCAGTTCCCTCTTGACGGGCTGGGCTGGTTTGCCTGAAGCACAAGCAGAAAAACAAAGTGTTTGTCACAGAAGGTCCAGCTCGAGGTGCTGGGCTTCATGTTGTCCTTGATGAAGAGGGGCCTGCTGGGAGCTTGGGAACTGCCCGATTCATGCAGAAATGGCAATTATTTTATTTTTAACCAGTAAAGATTTAATTTCATCCTCACTATCTCCTGGTTCCTCTTGGCACCAGGTGGGCCTGTGAGGTATCTCCAGCTCTGATGTGGGTCACACTCCAAGAGCTCCTTGTTTCCAGGGGCTGACTGCTCCTCTCCCACCCCAAAGAACAGGCAGAGCGAGGCACAGGTTCTCAGTAATTACTTTTTGCCAAAAAACCCCCCAACCCATTCAGTGGCAAGCACAGGGAAAAGGAAGGGACCAAGCCAGCCTTCAAGTGCTGTTTCCCTGGGGGGTTTCCCTCCCTGGAGGCCAGCAGAGCCTGCCTGCAGCCTGCACACCACCCACCATCTTTCTTCTCTCTCTCTTCCGTGAGCCTCTTCTCTGCCAGCTTCTCATACTCATCCTTGTCCCACTTCCGGCGGAAGTCCAGGTTCTTGGTCTGGGAGGGAAACAAAGTGTTTGACAGGATGAAAACATTCATGGTACAACTGGAGCAGCTCAGAGGGGAGCCAAAGAGGTGGAATCACTTGGCCAGCAAGGCCACAGCAGTAAAATTGGGGCACAACATTATATCCCCCTGTCCTCTGTCTTTTTATTGAAGGATTAAGGAAGCAGGCTGAGGGAATAACCCTCAGCAGGTCTGGATCCACCTCTTCTAGAAGGATCTCAAAGCACTGAGAAAAACAATGACTTTATCTTCACAGCTTCTGACGTGGTCACCCAGGCTTTGGTTGAGAGGACAGACACAAAGGGCAGTTGCAGGGACGTCTGACAAGGGAGATCCCACTTGGAGCACTGTGTCCAGTTCTGGAACCCTCAACATAAGAAAGACATGGAGCTCATGGAGTGAGGCCAGAGGAGGCCACGGAGATGAAGAGAGGGCTGGAGCAGCTCTGCTCTGGAGCCAGGCTGGGAGAGTTGGGGTGTTCAGCCTGGAGAAGAGAAGGCTCCAGGGAGACCTGAGAGCAGCTTCCAGTGCCTGAAGGGGCTCCAGGAAAGCTGGGGAGGGGCTTGGGACAAGGGCAGGGAGGGATGGGAGCAGGGGGGAATGATTTCAAGCTGAAAGAGGGGAGATTTAGGTTGGACATCAGGAGGAAATTCTTTGCTGTGAGGGTGGTGAGAGCCTGGCCCAGGTTGCCCAGTGAAGCTGTGGCTGCCCCATCCCTGGCAGTGTTGAAGGGCAGGTTGGATGGGGCTTGGAGCAGCCTGGGCTGGTGGGAGGTGTCCCTGCCCATGCAGGGGGTTGGGACTAGTTGGTCATTAAGGTCCCTTCCACCCCAAACCATTCCATGATACCAGGAAAAGCTCTGAGGGCCCCTCTGGCACAGATGCCAGGGAAGCACAGGTATGAAACTCAGGATGAACTGTCCTGCTCCCACAGCCAGGCTGGGAAGGGAGGCAACCTCCCTGAGCCACCCCCTGAGCCCCTGCTCTGCAAGGACAGGATAAGCTGCAGGAGGAAAAGCTGGATTCAGGTGAAGCTGGTGCTGAAGAACACAAAGACTGGTGTTTTCTGTTTCTCTCTCCTCACTAGGGCTGAGAGTGGGAGGGACTGGACAAGATTCCCTCTTCCACCCAGAGCCACCCTCACCAGCCCAGCTGTCCCAGGGACAGCCCAGCAACACCCAAGGCTCCTGCACACCCCCATGGCTCAGACACTTTTATCTTCTCCAGAAGACAAGTCTGGTTTGCTCAGAAAGCTGCATTTCACCTCCCAAGAGCCTCTCAGTTTCATATTAAAAGAAGAGAACAAAAGGACAGATGCATTTTAAAACACCTCCAGGAAAACAGGACTCCCCCACCCCCCACTGCCTTCTCCACTCACCCAAATCAAGAATCCAATCACAATCCAAGGGAAATAAATCCCATTTGAAGCTAGAGCAGCAGCAGAGTCATTTAATGTTTTCTCCCCTGGCAATCCTTCAAATGGAACCAACAACTACTGATAGGAATGAAAATGCCTCAGGGAGGCATAGAAAAATTCTCATTTATTCCCAGAGCTTCTTAAGCACTTTAAGCATGTCATAACAGGGCTTATTAACCAGCCTGAGCCACAGAAAAGAAAATACCACCCAGTGTAAATGAACGTTTGGGGGTGTTCTCCAGCCTCTCCTGCACCCCAGTACATCATTACACATCATGGCTGGTGGGAGCCCAGGAGGGAGGTGATTTACTTGCTGCTTCACTCTCCTCTTGTAATAAAGACTTTTTTGTAGCTCTTTTACCCATCTCCCTCATCCAGGCACAGGGAAAGAAATGAAACCCAAATGCCCATGACAAGATCCTGGCTAGAGATCATCCAGAGGAATTCTTCCTAACTGACCTAGTGGAGACTAAGTTGCCTGCAAGGCCTCCAATCTTTTTCCAAGACCTGCTTTGGATGACACAGAGTATTTCCCAAGCAAGTAACAGCAATTAAAAACCAGCAGTGCCCCACATCCTCCTGCTCCCTCTGGAGGTGGACACTGAATGACCTGCCCAGTATCAGCATCAAAGCCTGTAAAATGAAACCTCAGGTTTGGCTGGATCCAACAGGAACGCAGCCCCCAGGCCCCTCCCGGGCAGCCCTGCTGCAGCCTGACCTGTCCCAGTTCTGCTCCCTCCTCAGCAAGTGGCTTCCAGTTCAAGAAGCTGGGCCAAGGAGGCAGAGGAGAGCAGCCCCCGTGGTGCTGAGGGCTGCCCAGAGTATCTCTGGAGGTGTTTCAGCTGGTCTGGATCTCCAGCCACATTACACCAACCTCACTTAAGTGGTCTCAGCATCCCAACACCAAATCCTGCAGGATCCACACGGACCTCACGTGACACAAACTGAACACGGTTAATAAAATAATCAGGTAACACGGGAGCAATCAGAGACTCCAGGATCAGAGCCAGGGAGAGGCTGGTTTCTTTGTGCAGGGCAGGTGGCCACACGCAACAAACCAGACAGGTCAGCGTGAAAAAAGAAATTGGACGTGACACAAACTGAACACGGTTAATAAAATAATCAGGTAACACGGGAGCAACCAGAGACTCCAAGATCAGAGCCAGGGAGAGGCTGGTTTCTCTGTGCAGGGCAGGTGGCCACACGCAACAAACCAGACAGGTCAGCGTGAAAAAAGAAGTGGGAAGCAGCAACCCCTTCCCAGAGGGGCCGGGAAGCAACAGGGCAGGACGAGAGGTGAGGAAGGAGCTGCCACCAGCCCGCACCGCCCGCCAGCACCCCGCACGGG